TTTATATATATATAAGCAAATAAATAAATAAAGGTTCGAGTAACTGAGTATGTTTTCATTAGAAACTGGAGGACTTCAACCGATATCCGGACTTCAACAACTATTTGATATATGTGCTGACGAAACTAAATACGGAAGATGAACCCACACGGTCGCTAAGTGGCTTAATACTAAAGAACAACATTCGCATGCACGGCAGCAACTTGCAGCCAGAGATTGTTGAGTACATCAAACACGAATGCCTGCAAGCTGTGGGCGATGCTTCACCCCTGATACGGGCTACCGTTGGAATTCTGATCACAACTATAGCCAGCAATGGAGGCTTGCAGAACTGGCCACAGCTGTTGCCGACGCTGTGCGACATGCTCGATAGCCAGGACTATAATGTGTGCGAGGGTGCGTTCAGTGCTCTGCAAAAGATCTGCGAGGATTCGGCTGAAATCTTGGACTCCGCTGTGCTAAATAGGCCACTTAACGTTATGATACCCAAATTCTTGCAATACTTTAAACATAACAGCCCCAAGATACGGTCCCATGCAATTGCCTGCATCAATCAATTCATTATCAACCGGTCACAGGCGCTGATGCTGCACATCGATGCGTTTATCGAGAATCTGTTTAATCTGTCTTCGGATGAGGATCACGAGGTGCGAAAGAATGTCTGTCATGGTCTAGTCATGCTGCTCGAAGTGCGAATGGACAGGTTGATGCCACACATGTCGCAGATCATTGAGGTATGTAACTAGAATTGTGATATAGCTAACAGAGAGTGAGAGTGTTTCGTTACACTATTGTTGTTTTCTTTTATTATGTTCGCTTAGTACATGCTACTGCGTACACAGGACTCTGATGAGGGCGTGGCCCTTGAAGCGTCAGAGTTTTGGTTGTCGCTGGCGGAACAAAGTATTTGCAAGGATGTGTTGGCACCGTATTTGCCGCAGCTTGCGCCTGTTTTGGTGCGTGGCATGCGATACTCGGAGATAGATATTATATTGCTTAAGGGCAACGTAGAGGAGGATGATATGGAACCGGATCGCGAAGAGGATATACGTCCTCGATTCCACAAATCACGCACACACACCATCAAAAGCGGCGAGGTCAGTCAGGCATCAGGCGGCGAGGATGATGATGATGAATTTGATGATGGCTTAGACGATGATAGTTCGCTATCTGAATGGAATTTGCGCAAGTGCAGTGCGGCCGCTCTGGATGTCCTGGCGAATGTATTTCGCGAGGACTGTCTGCCCATTGTGCTGCCTATACTGAAGGACACGCTTTTTCATCAGGAATGGGTGGTTAAGGAGAGCGGCGTGCTTGCTCTGGGCGCCATAGCCGAGGGTTGCATGCAAGGCATGATCCAACATTTACCCGAATTAATACCATATCTGATTAGCTGCTTGTCCGACAAGAAGGCGCTAGTGCGCTCTATTACCTGTTGGACTCTGTCCCGCTATGCCAACTGGGTGGTCAATCAGCCACATGACCAGTACCTAAAGCCACTAATGGAGGAGCTACTCAAACGCATACTGGATTCAAACAAGCGAGTGCAGGAGGCTGCGTGCTCGGCGTTTGCCACGCTCGAAGAGGAGGCGTGCACTGAACTGGTGCCCTATTTAGAATATATACTAAAAACCCTTGTTTTCGCCTTCTCCAAGTATCAGCATAAGAATCTATTGATCTTGTACGATGCCGTGGGCACGTTGGCTGACTCAGTTGGTCATCATTTGAACAAGCCACAGTATATTGATATATTAATGCCGCCACTAATTGACAAATGGAATCTGCTTAAGGACGACGACAAAGATCTATTCCCATTGCTCGAATGCCTGTCCAGCATTGCAACTGCGCTGCAATCGGGCTTTCTGCCATATTGCGACCCCGTCTATAGGAGATGCATATCGTTAATTGAGCAGACAATTAATCAGGAAATGGTAGGTGATGATCACAATGGCATATTTGAACGTGGATACATATGAATTCTTATTTTCGCAGCTTTGCAAACAAAATCACACATTCGATCATCCCGACAAGGAGCGCATGATTGTTGCGCTGGACTTACTCTCCGGCCTGGCAGAGGGCTTGGATCGGCACATTGAGACGCTGGTGTCCAATAGTAACATAATGCATTTGCTCTATCAATGCATGCAGGACGTTCTGCCGGAGGTTCGTTTACTTCGGTTAGGTTAGCTTGTATGCATTTCTGAATTTTTGTTGTTGATTTTTGTGCAGGTGCGTCAATCTTCATTTGCACTGCTCGGTGATTTGACCAAGGCCTGTTTCCCACATGTGCATCCGTTCATGGGCGAGTTCTTCCCCATATTGGGTCAAAATCTAAATCCCGATTTTATTTCGGTATGCAACAATGCAACATGGGCTATTGGCGAAATATGCATGAAGCTGGGTAAGTAAACTATAAAGAGATTTGTATTATATATATACACGAATGGTTTCTCTTATCTAGGTGAGGAAACCAAACAGTACATTCATCTTGTTCTGACCGATCTCTTCGTCATCATCAATCGCCCGAATACGCCCAAAACGCTGCTGGAGAATACAGGTGAGTGAATGTTCAGAAATGCATTCTGTGAATGATATGTTTATACATATATACACATACAAATCATATGTGTATATATATATGCATATACATCAGCGGTATGCAAATATTTGTATGTATATGTATGTGTCTGAACATAAGTATGTGTGCTGACTGAACATTTGTTTCTGATATCATTTACCGTTGCATGTGACGCATTGTCGTCAACTGCAAAAATCCAGGAAAATAGAAATCATAACAATAACAATATGAAAAACATGCATAACACATACTTCATTGTATTGTCGATTAGTCAATGTGAATGTTTCAAACTTATTGCTGTATGTAATTAATTGAAGCGCGTCTCGAATCAATCAATTAAGAACATGCGCAATCAAACAATAAATGTAATATAATTTATTCAGTTGATTTATTTATATTTTTCTGTTCTTTTAGCAATAACAATCGGTCGTCTAGGTTATGTGTGCCCAGTTGAAGTGGCTCCTTATTTGCCCGAATTTGTACGACAGTGGTGTGTAACACTTTTATCAAATATGGTTTCTTATCCTTACCATTATCATTATATATCTTATACTTATTGCATTTACTTTTCCTAACTACATTTTTAAATTGTGCTTTTAAAAGAAATTCAGAACACGCAACAGAATATACAAGTTTCTGTAAATTTCTGATCTTTTCTGATCTTCTGTAATATATATATATATAAATTTATTTTGTGCTGTTCCTTCCATATTTCTTTTTTTGATTCCTTAACATTTTGCTATGAGTGTTTGCCTGTGGCATGCTCAGCTAATCGATGTGATATTCTAATATAATATGCATCCTATAACCTAAACAGGTGCACATCGTTGCGTCACATACGAGATAATGACGAAAAGGACTCGGCCTTCCGTGGCATGTGCCACATGATAACCGTGAATCCAGCTGGCGTTGTGCCCGACTTTATATTCTTCTGCGATGCAATTGCCTCATGGGTTAATCCGCCACAGGATCTGCATCAGATGATACAAAAAGTATGTGATGACTGCTAATTGGAAATGGTTTTCTAACTCATATTCTTCATTCAATAGATACTACATGGGTTCAAGACACAAGTAGGTGAAGATAATTGGCGTCGGTTTGTTGAGCAATTCCCGCCAAATCTGGCCGAGCGTTTGGTAACAATGTACAACATTTAAGACGTCTTGGCAACTACAAAAAAAAAAAAAAAAAGAAAAAGAAAAAAGAAAGAAAGAAAAAAAGAAAGGACACAAACACAATCTACACCCATAAGCAACTTATTAACTAGACAATTATGTTTATGTATGCGAGTAAAAGTGTCATCGTCTTTAAAGTTAGTGTAAGCGCAGTTAGCAGGCAAATGTTTAATTAAGGTTATTCGATGTAGTTCGAATAATTCAATTACATTTAAT